ACATAGGAGCCACGTCAAATTTGGGTGCCAATAGGACCTTTGCACAATTCTAGCACCACCAAGTCTGAAAAAGGGTGTTTCTTATCGATTTAACTAACTTGGCAAAAAAATGAATATTTGACTTTGCTGGCTCGGTCATTCGTTGCTTCCAAGGAAGTATAACGACCTATCCTTACGTATTGATTCATAAAACTTTGCCGTTCAATTCGGTGATCAATGTATACAGTCCAATACGAAATTACTGAGAAAAGTAAAATAGAGTTTCTTGTGACTCGTTCAATGTAAAAATAGAGTGTCTTGTGACTGGTTCAATGACTACTAGTCTTACGACATAATAGTCTGATTAAACCTATGTAAATGGAAGTTAAATTGGAAAAAAAATGCTATATCAAACCAACACATGTGAGTCTAATTAGGTAAATTGTCCAATTAGTCCTAAATTTATTATTCGAATGTCAATTCAGTTCTAAATTTTAACGTAGTCATTTCATTCAATTTTCTTCGTACAATGGGTTTGAGACTAAATTAACAAAATTGAAAAATATATGATTAAATTGACATACGTATAATTGATTTATGATTGATTGGGTAATTTTACTCAATCTTATGCATACGGGGGATTATATAATATGGGTTCTATATTATATTCGCTTTATTTAACGATACACGTTGCTGGGGTTTATATGCGATAAATACAGGCCGCACATTTTTTTGTGAAAGTGAGGCATACCAAGTCCTGTCAGTCCCCAACAGAGTCCAAAGTCAGACCGGCGAGCGGTCAATAGGAGACCACACCACGCAATCAAGCAGATGGGATTCGTTGCACAATTGGGGATACTTGAAATTTTCTCTTGTTGATTTGGCAGACCAGGAGCTGGTCCACGTGGTATTGGTATGACAAGTTAGACTGCCCCACTTTTCCCATTCGTCAATCGAGTTTGAAACACGAGTCTTTCTCAACGAAAGAGACTACAAAGAGATTGGGAATTTTCTCATCTCATGAGCTTCCGGAAATTTTCTTTCGTTGATCTGGCGAGGGCTTGCCACGAGCAAGGGGGCCCTTGTCCTAGGCGAGGGAGGAAATATTCCGTGGTTATAAAGCGCCACGTGACGTGTATTTTTTTGCAAGCATCCAATAATAGGCCGACACATGTTCGCTGAGGTGGAATAAAAATTAAAAAAATCAATTTCTCTCATCTTCCTCCTCCATCCTTCGTCTTCCTCCATCCCAGCTTGACTATGGTGAAAACTCAGGCAGCGCCGACAATAGTGAAGGGAGCTCGCCGTCAAAACTCGCAGCCATGGATGATGAAAGAGCCTGCTCTCCGGCTCCGTCTTTTTGTGTTTATCTCCAACCTCCAGATCTGGAATCGCATCCCTCGTCCATGGCCGTCATTACCTTCGCCTGCGTCGCTCTCCAAATCTCCAGATCTGGCCATCCATGGCCATCATCACCTTCGTCAGCGACTTTCTATCAAAATTGGCTGGAAGGATTCAATTGGTAAATTGTAAAAAATGGTTAAGAATAAATTGGCCAAATTAAAAAGTTTACGACTGAATTGATACAAGTATAATAAGTTTAGAACTTTTTTGGTAATTTCGCCACCCAACTTGTCCAACTTATTTTTGTAACCAACTGTGCGAGGTATACATAAAACCTCCATTTTCAAAATAATGTCATCTTACTTTTGTGAAGAAAGGGGCGTAGACCAGCCGACTTAGGAGGGTCCATTATCCATTATTAAACAAAAGCATGCCCATTTTTTCCTTTTTTGGCACCAATTTCTCATGGTCGGATATGTAATTAAACGCTTATGAATATGTATGTCTTCCGGTGCACGAGGAAGAAGACAAGCCACGATGGATGGATCAGCTGGGAGTCTTATTACAGTCCAATTGTCTAAGTCCTCGTTGTGATTGTCATCAGTCAGCCTTAAGGTGTTCTACAAAAGATAAACATGACATGCCATGTACTCATTATGAAAACAAAGATTTTCCCCAAGATGCAAAGTCATCTTGAGAGAGTGTTATCCCCAACATTTTGATTGGTCTAGCGAAAAGTATTGTTCTGTTCATCCTCACACTCTTTTTCCTAAACGGTTTGGACCCTCTCAATTTTATGAGAGAACGTAGACAATAGGTAAATTGGTGAAGAATGTCTTGTCGTCTTACAAGATGCGAAAACCCATTTGAGCTAGGTTAGAGGTTAAGATATGGACATGTATGTATGAGTTAGGTGCTTGGCATAGATTTGATTGTTCATACCAAAAGTGTAAAAAATTTCCATATTGTCTCACGCTCCCAATCTTTGACTCACTTCTTACTTGATGACCCATGAGATTGGCGCAGTTATTACTATTAGTTTTTGGTCAAAAGATATTTCCATTCATTACCAAAATGATATTTGAAACGATTCATAGGAAATCTCAAAAGTCACCATAATAAGGCAAGCTCGTAAAATTTCAAAACAAACCAAAAATGAGAAATCAAGATACATCATTAAAGTATGGTTGACAAAAATAATCACATGCTCATCTTTCAAGAACATATCCACAACTGCATCTAAGCGAAAGAATCGACAGTCGATCACCGAATCACACATCTTCATCAATGATGAGCATTTACCGGGATTTCTATCTGTAGTTACGGTTTTGCCTTTTGACGGGTGCGGCAAGGTTCGGCGTCTCCAACACCACCACCGTACGAAAATAAGATAAACTTGTTGAACAAGCTCAGATCTGACACTTGTGAGAACAAGTTAGCAAGTGTGAGACTCCGAAGCTTTGAACAAAAACACATTGAACTAGCACAAATTTGACACCAAAGCTGCTGTGAATACTATTGAAACTGGAGGTAGAGTATTTATTCATTAAAACTCCTAAATCTAGAGTAAGATAGGAGAGAAAATCTCTTCGATCTAATATCGGGAGAGCAAAACTCTCAAATCTGAAATTAGATTAGGAGAGTAAGGAAAGAAACAAGAAGAAATAAAACGGAAAACAACGAGGGAGGGGAGGGCGAGATCTCGGTCAAATCCCTTCTCTCCGTAAGTTGAAGAGAAGAAGAAAGGCTAAAACGCAAGAGAGGGAGAGAGAAGCGCCCGGGGGGGGCGGGGCGGGGCGGGCGGTCGGTCGGGAGGGAGGGAGGGAGGGTTTGTGTAAGGCAAGTATTCCTTGTTATACAAAAGAAGACCAATAGATCTTCTGCATCCATAATGTTAAGAAAATAACAAACATTAATTACTTAAAGTTGAACTTTACTTTTTTTACTTAAGCAGTTATGTGGTGTCCGAATTAGCTGGTACCTAGACCAGTCCACCTCGACTGGTGATCTTATTGGCACTCCACATCAACCTAATGTATTGAGGATTCCACTCCTAAATTGCTCCCAATAAGGTTTCGCAACAAAATCACAACGACGGAGCAAACTCCTTCACCATTTAAGTACGAACCTTTCTAAAGCGAATGAATGACTTCCCATGGGCCAATATGATCAAATCACCAGTTGAATTGCTGCAACAAGTTACTGTCTAATTAGAGGTTATCCAAATATTTAAACATAATAAGTAATTTCCTCCATTTCGGACTCTTTTTAGATTCTTTTTCTTAAAGGCAAAATACAATGAATATGTCGCATCAAAATTACCAAAGTATAACGCAAGAGGAGCTTTCTCTTTTGACTAGCGAGGGAAGGGGTGAGTGGGCACCGTGCACTGAAAGTTTATAAGTGACCAGCTGATGATGTATCGGAGACCTGACCAATGCAGTATTCGGTAAGACGACGTTCTTCGAGTAATCTGTCACAGCGTGTGGATTAAGCCATCGAATAGGACCACATGATGATTTGAAGCGAATAGCATATATAGTAAAGCTTGACCCGTTCATTAAGCACATGTCTAACGACGAAGAAATGCGTTCGTAGACCAAAGTAGAAATTTCTAAGCTCTCTCGCGATTCCATATTCTAATACTTCTTCAACAACTATCAATTTTAAACGTGCGTTTCTTATGACATTGTGTTGTAAATTAGCCAACGACTCTCTTAGGGGTTTATTAGTCACAGGGACGTAGAAACGTCTTGGCCGGGCACAACAGGCAGAAAGGTCTCCTAACACCAGCTTCTCAGGTCTTTTCATCCACATTGGAAGTCACAGGCCCACAGCGGCAGGCGGTCAATTTAGAGACTCCAGATACATTTGGCTCTGGTTTGAGGTTAATCAGAAGGTTCCATGTTAATTTTGTGACAGTGGCTGGTCCACGTGTACTTGCTTGGAAAGGTGTCATGACGTGTATTTGTAGTGCGACATGGATTCTCGGTCATCTACTATGTGTATAATGCATAATTTTGTCCTTTCATATTTATGAAAAGTGTTCTACGTCTTCCATCTCCCCAGTGAGAGCTCTCTCTATCCATGGTGATAGCCAAACCCTAACAGCTAACCTTACTCCCGTGAAACCCTTAGGCAGATTTGCTTCCATTGCACCCTCACATAATCGCCAATCTACAGTCTACAACAAATCCTCTTCCATTACCATAAGAACCCATCGATTACCCCTACATCCACACAATGTAACCATCATAACCCCACCAAACCCATGGACAGACGCAACACCATCATCACCTCTGGAGTCCTAGTTACCATATCCATTTCACCCATTCCACGCCCTAAATCACAAAATCTAATCCTTCCCCGTTAAACCCTAATTCCACTTAATCCATTGGCTCCTGAGCTCCCTTCATCCTTCAAGTTTATTGCCGTGAATCAGTGCTACTCGCCTATTACAAAAAGTTCTACACAAGCCCCCTGGTTGCAGGAACAATAGATTGAAAAGGTAACTGGCGATCAAACTGGAAGTGGAAATTGTCATCCCTCTTGGTAAGCATACGGCATTGTCTTCTGAAGGTTTCACATACATGTTTAGAAACAACGGAGTGAGTAGAATGGAAAAGGAAAAGTTAAAAGAACGTAGACTAGCAACCCTTTGTAATCGAATGGGGAAAATGTGGACGAAGAAGTCTGTAGCCAATGTGTTCAAGGAAATTCCTGAGGAGAAATTGGAGGCTTGTAATTTGACTTTACTCGGCAAACTCCACTCTAGGCCCAATGTTAATTTTCAGGCCTTCCTAACTACTATGAAAAAGGCTTGGAAAACGGACAACGTGGTAGTTGATCAACCGCAACAAGGTCTGTTCACGTTTACATTCAGATCGGAGAGCGACAAGAAGAGGGTTTTGGAAGGTAGCCCATGGTCCTTCTCAAGCAACTTACTCATCCTTGTGCAACTAAACCCCAAAATACCAATTCACCGCCGTGTTTTCACGCATTGTGCCTTCTGGGTACAAGTTCATGGAATGCCGGTAGCAAGGATAACTAAAAACTCTTTGCAAGAGGTGGCCTCTAAGATCGGGAAAGTCATAGAGATAAAGATGGAAGCAAAAGAAGGTGGCCTGTGTAAGGTGGGGAAAGCTAGAGTTCTTCTAGATTTGGCACAACCTCTCACTTCAGGGATCATGGTGAACTTTGAAGACGATCAATATTGGGTTGATTTCAAGTATGAACGTCTTCCCCATTTTTGTTACTCTTGTGGGAAGATGGGGCATTTTACCACTAATTGCGAGGAAATACCTTAAAAAGAAGCTGAAACAAGAGAAGTTAGTGAAGGAAATTATGGCTACTGGTTAAAAGCGGAAGCACATGAGGCTAGCCCTTTTTGGAAACTATTCCACGGATAAGAGTTTATGGAATCGGACGAAGATGAAATTTTTCCGGAAACCCCAGACCAGGATGGTGTGATGGAGGGTGTACTGCCCATTGCAGTGGAAGAACCTAATGGATTGAGAACTATGGAAACTCAACAAGAGGACAACGCTAAACTGAAGGGTAAAGGAAAAGAGATAGTGGTCAGGGAAACTCGAAGAAAGAGGCATCAAAGCACCCAATTCTTACTCTCAGATACTCCAAGGATGGAGGCACCTCCTAAACATAATGTCGAGAGTTATTTGAAAGGGAAGGAAGACCATCAAACCCCAGCATCAAAGAAGTCGAAAAGGTATGAATCGTATAATTCTCAAGGGGGTAATGTCCACAATGTAGATGCTACTCAGCTTCATGAGATCCCGATTTCAATTGAAGATGGCTCAAAGGAATGAGCTTTGGTGGCTAGCCCTAATAAGCCACCGGGGGATATATGAAGATTATGAGCTGGAATTATCAGGGTCTGGGTTCTACCCTGACATTCCAGCACCTGAGAGCCTTAGTGGCTCAAAAAATACCCAACGTAATATTTTTAATGGAAACCAAAAATAAAAGAGCAAGGGTGGATGGAGTTAGACATAGACTCAATTTTCAGAATTCTGTGATAGTCGACCTAAAAGGTTTGGCTGGAGGATTAGTAGTTATGTGGGATGAGGAGGTGACGATGGAGGAGGTGGAAAGCACGGAGAATATTGTAGATTTAATATGCAGGGATCTTAGTAGCGGAAAGAGAATGCATGTATCTTTTCTCTATGCACCAACTAACTTTCAGGAAAGGCTCCTCCTATGGCGAAAGCTGAGATATATTCACCATGAAAACAGACTCCCTTGAATATGTATGGGTGACTTTAATGAGATACGGCATCAGTGGGAGAAGGTAGGTAAAAGAGAGGAGGATTATTATAGATTGGTGGCTTTCCGGGATATGTTAAATGATTGCGAACTCATGGACGTAGAGAGTAAATGGTGTGCCTATACGTGGGCAAACAATAGAGACGGTGAGGAATTGGTAAGGAAATGACTAGATAGGGTGGTATGTAACATGGAATGGAGGGTGTTATTCCACGAGGCGGAAGCTTATGCGCTACCGGCCATTGGCTCCGATCATAGCCCATTCTTATTATCCCTAGCCCCACCCAAGGATAAGAGGAAAAAGGAATTCCGTTGTGAGGCTTATTGGCTAGATGAACCAGAATGTAGAGACATTGTGGAGGAGGCATGGCATGACCAGGCAAACAATAATGCAGATTTTGTGAGTAAGTCCAGAAAAGTGGTTGAAGCCTTGACTAGGTGGAGTAGGAGGAGATTCTCAAATGCACATAAACAAATACAATTCTTGATGAGGAGATTAACGAACATGACAAATAGCTCGGACGAGGGAAGGGGAAAAGTGGTCATTCAACAAATCAAGGAGCAAATTGAGAGACTATGGAGGCAAGAAGAGATGTATTGGAGTATGAGGTCCCGAATCAGCTGGTTAAAGTGGGGAGATAGAAATACCAAATACTTCCACGCCACCATGATTCAAAGAAGACAAAGAAATAGAATTTCTATGCTGAAAATGGGGGAGAATAGATGGAGTAGGGATCCTTTAGAGCTCAAGTCACATATCCAATCATTTTATCAGGCTTTATATGAGTCAACAGGACACAGAAATTTCCAACCAGTGATTGATCAATGCCCATACACTCCTAAAGAGGGGATGAACGAGGCCTTAATGAGAAGAGTGTCGATTGACGAGGTGAAAAAAGCTGTGTTCCAAATGGGTGCAACCAAGGCCCCAGGACCGGATGGACTGAATGGCCAATTCTATCAGCATAACTGGGAGAGTATACAGCATGATATCTACCGTTTGGTGGATAATTTCTTCACGTCAGGTGTGCTTGACCCCACCCTAAATCATACTTATATAGTCCTTATTCCTAAGGTGGCGAACCCAGAGTGCATTACTCAATATAGGCGAATTAGCTTATGTAATTTCAGTTACAAAATCATTTCCAAAGTCATGGCCAACCGTCTAAAACCTTGGCTTTCTGAACTTATTTCCACCGAACGAAGTGCATTCGTGAGTGGGAGGCAAATACAAGACAACATATTAGTAGTTCAGGAAGTACTCCACCAGTTGCGTACTAGGAAAAGGAAAGAAAGTTCGAAGCAATACTCAAGCTGGACATGCAGAAAGCTTATGATAGAGTGGAGTGGGATTTCCTATGTGCTAGTATGCTGAAAATGGGCTTCAGTAACAGATGGGTTCAGTTAATCAAGGAATGCATATCTACGGTTTTTTTTTAGCGTCCGAGTTAATGGGGAATCCCTATAGGACTTCCAACCATCCCGGGGCATAAGACAAAGGGATCCATTATCGCCGTACTTGTTTATTATTATGGCCAATGCCTTATCGTCTCTATTGAACAAAGCAGTTGAGGAGGGCAGCATCAGAGGTATAAAGCTGAATAGGTGGTGTCCAACATTATCACATCTATTATTTGCGGACGATGCAATTTTTTTCTTGAATGGAACAGTCCGTGAATGTCAGAATTTGGCAAGTATTTTGAACCAATATTGCTATACTTCGGGCCAGGCTATCAATTTGAACAAGTCAGGTATTTTCTTTAGCAATGGATGCCCTGAGTTACTGAAGAGGAATATGGCGGAGCAGCTATGAGTTCCTATTATTGACAAAACCGGCAAGTATTTAGGCATTCCAACAGATTGAGGGCAGTCAAAGAAACAAATGTTTGCCTGGATATTAGCAAGAGTTAATATGAAGCTAGAGGGGTGGAAGGAAAAGCTGATTACCAAAGCAAGGAAGGAGATCGTAATTAAAACTATCATTCAAGCTTTGCCACAGTATGCAATGTCCATTTTTAAGATTCCTATCTCGATTTGTAGAGCGATTGAGCAGAAGATTTCCTCCTTCTGGTGGAAGCAAAGTGCAGACAAAGCAGGTATCCATTGGAGAAAATGGGAACTTCTGAAAATCAGGAAAGACGCGGGTGGCTTAGGCTTTAAGGACCTGATTGCTTTTAATAAGGCAATGCTAGGAAAACAGGTCTGGCGACTAATACAAGCACCGAATGCCCTTTGGAGTCAGGTACTAAAGGGAGTCTATTTTCCCCGTGGTGAGTTTTGGCAAGCCAACAAGGGCCATCGCCCATCCTGGGGGTGGTAGAGTCTACTAATGGGTAGAGACATAATTGAGGCATATGCTAGATGGAAAGTAGGGGACGGCGAAAAGATAAAAATTAAAGAGGACAAGTGGCTCCCTTCCGGCAAACTTGTAGGCCCCTTGAACCAAGATGTACCAAAATTCGTAGCAGAACTGATTAACCAGGAGACTCATGAATGGAAATCACAATTGATTAAGGAAGTTTACGAAGAAGATGTGGTGCAAGAAATACTGACAATCCCACTAAGCACAAAACCCTCGGAGGACACTTTGGTGTGAACAGGGAACAAAAAAGGAGTCTATTCAGTTAAAAGTGGTTACAATAGGTTATGCTCCCAAATTTCGCAACAACAGATGAATTAGGCATCGTCATCATATCAGCCTCCCAGGAACTTATGGACTAAAATATGGCAAATCCCAATCTACCCCAAGGTTCGTCATTTCTTATGGACCATATGCACAAATGTTCTACCGACAAAAGAAAATCTGTACAGAAGAAAGATGGCACCTGATCCTCTCTGCCCGATTTGCCGCCGAGTCCCGGAGACTCCCGAACACCTCCTCCTCCTTTGCGACTGGACAAGAAATGTTTGGTTAGACTCTCGGTTAAATCTAGACACCTCAGCTACCAAAATCTCCAGAATGGACAAGTGGCTTGCGGATTACCTGTCGTCGTGTGACACCCTTTCCTCGTCGGAAGACCCTCCCTCATCGGCGATCTTGGCCGGCATTATCTGGTTGATTTGGAAGGCACGAAACGCCTTGGTATTCTAGCAGCGCAAACCGAACCAATGGAACATAGTGGAAGAAGCAATTAGCGACTATAAAGTGTTTGAGAGGTGGAACACTAACAAAAAGGAACGAACACAAAAGGTGAAATCCTTAATAGATCGTTGGTCTCCGCCGGCGAAGGGGAACCTCAAATTGAACGTCGACGTAGCTTGGTGCAGTGAAACACGAGAGGCCGCAGCTGCGGGAGTCCTCTGGATTCAAGATGGACTCATAATTTCTGGGTTCGCGAGGAATTTTAAAACCCCATCAGCTAGCGCGGCGGAAACTCTTGCTCTACGTGAAGGACTCTCTTTCCTGTTGAAGCTTCGAAGTCAAAAGGAAAGGGAAAGTGATCTGTACAGTGACTTCTTTGATCTGTGCGTGGAAGTGGAGTCTAACAGCCAAGCATGCGTGAGGTGGATTTTGGGCCAAGAAGAAAGTCTGTGGACCGTGAGTTCAGTGGTCGAAGACTGTCGAAAATTGATGGCCCAACTAAAAGGGGTATCCTTAGCCCATTGTTCCAGAAATTCCAACCAGGCCGCGGATTGGGTGGCGAAGACCCAGCGTACTAATTCCTTAACTCCAAACTGGATTTCTAAACCTTCCTGTATCCTGTTGTCTCTCTTATGTTATGATTGTGGAAACTCATGTGAGTCAGTTTCAAGTGTCTAATGAAAGCTAAGCGTATTGTTGACCAAAAAAAAAATATTTATGAAAAGTAAATATACTTTTCCTTCATATAATTTCCTGAATTTACCAACAAATGAGCAAAAGTACACCAGAAGTGCCACAACTTGTGTACGGCAATCACTTTGGTGCCATAACTTTTTTTTAGATCACTTTGGTGCCAAGTCGGAGGAAAATAGATCACTTTAGTGACTCCGGCCAAAATTCCGGCCAAAAAGCTGACCTGGCATTTATATTTAAAAAAAATGG